TTTGATATCATTTAGACACTTGAAGACCGTAACGTTATAAACTCTGAAATGTGACGATAGGCTGGTTCTACAAAGAGCCGGACTGTTTCACCATGAAGATGTAAGTTACTGAATCTGCATCTCTATAACTTTAAACGTATGGGGTGGAGGCAAGGTACAAAGTACAAGGTCTTCAGTGCTACCAATTTCCATCTCTCTTTGACCTGCTTATCTTGTGAGATGGGGTGAGATCTTGTGAGTTTATGCTCACTCCTAGCACCTGTCCTTGGTGCTGAGCACGATGCACACTCGGGCAAATACACCTGTCCTTGGTGCTAAGCATCTTCGACACACAGGCAACCTCACCTGTCCTTGGTGCTGAGCATCTTCGACACACAGGCAAACACACATGTCCTTGGTGCTGAAAACCTTCCACACACAGGAAAACACACATGTCCTTTCAACAAAGATCTTATTACAACATACCCAACAAAAACATTCGCTACCTACCTGGTATCTACCAACCTAGTTTATTTATTTGTTTATTGAAAAATGCAACAAGACATTACACTGACTCTCAAGGCAGCAAAGCTGATAATAGAGAGTCAACCTATAAGGACAAAACACATAGGGCACATAATTTCAAATACAGTTTAAAATGCAAGAACAATCATAAAACTTAACCTATGTCATTCTAATTAAACAAGTACATACATATACATAGTAAAGATAACGCATGTGGAGGTCAAAGGTCCAGAAAAAAGATAGACTACCTCATAAGAGAAAATTGATACTAAATAACAAGGCTAGGAGGAACAGCTGGAAGTGCCTAGAAACTATTTGTTGAAGTGATGTAGGTATGGGAGGCGTGTGAAAGGCTTTTGTTTAATGTAATGTCATTGCCTGGGGACCCGTGGAGCAGAACGCTGGTGGAGAGGGGCCGTCTCACGAGGCGGTACACAGTTGTGGCAAGGGCTTGTCGTGCAGCTGCGTGCAGGGGGCACTGCAGGAGGAAGTATGCGACTGTCTCCGAGGTCGCACCACAGGCACATCCCCGGCCGGGGAGGTTGAACTTGGCCAGCCTGGAGTTAAGCTGGCACCAGCCAATGCGGAGTCTCGTGGCAAGTATGTACCTACCTAGTACCTACTGCAATAACAGGCCACGACAGGACACAAATATCTTGACGGCAAATGCAGGTTTATTCAAACTAAATTAATCAAGACAAAACTTAAATCTTCACTTAGCCATACTTAATCTATATTATTGATGTTCTCTTTTAATATGGAAAACGTGGCTATAATGCTGTTATAGTTTTAAGAAATTGCTAATATTGGTGTTCAAATAATACTGCGCCAAACAAGTCAATTGTTGATCAAAAGAAGAAAAGTAAACTTTAGCCTAAGGTGGCCATGTGATGACGTCTTACTTAGTATTGATTTCCCTTGAGCAATAAGGTCCGGAAATGAACATGATGGCAGATTGTATGTTATTAGTCATATTACTTGTGAAGTGATTATTATGTGAATGTATCTCAACGTCAGCTTTAAAATATCTTCAACATATGTTGCTTTATAGTTAAATGTCATAACTCATACATTGTATTCTTTGAAAACAAATAACATCTTGGCTATTCATTATCCTTATCAGGTGGAAAATACCCGCACCTCAACCATCAAAATGTCTCAAACTAAGATCTTTATTACGCGAAAATTTATTAAGTAAAAAGCATTGGTTTCATTCATAGTCTGACTGTCAATTTCATGATGTGTTAGCTGACATATCTGTGATGTTATGATTCCGTAATTATGATGGTTGAAACACAAGTAGACCTGAGTGCTACAAACGGGCAACATGGTGACGGGATATCAGACAACTGCCGTCATTGAGTAACCATGATGCCAACTAGTACTTTAATTTATATTCAGTGAATTGATTACATTAAATCATTGAACCATAATAGAATGAAAACATCTTAAAACCCATGTCATAACAAGGTAACCAAGCCATTGGGTAGTATAAGCTGATTTGTGGTTTTAAGTGCGCATACGCAGTGGCCACTGAGACATAAACAAAACACGTCTGGGCATGGTATCAAACATGGTCTTGACAAGAACTGTTTACAAGTTGTGTTATCACCGTTGACCTCGTTCATGCGTGCGCAGTTCAAACCATGAACAGGCTTACTGCTTACGGAAGTGTAGCTCAGTGCATGATGATAAGTAAGAACGCCCGTGCCAAGTTACCCAAGGCATGAACCTGCTACGACCGGGCTAATATCGTACCAAATATATTTCTTTCTAAATACAATGCTGGGACCCGATGTACAACAATAAAAATTTCGTCTCGTCTGTTTCTTTAGTAGATTTACATTGGTAGTAACTTCGCACACAGTTGGCATCCAGATATCGTCGACTATGCCATTTTAAAAGGCTCCAATATTTAAAAATAACAACAACAAAAAAGATGTCGTTGTGTACGGTTGTCCCAACATTGTATTGCAGTTGCCGTCGTACCAATCGAATTTGAAACAACCCAATTTCGGATACAGGGCTTGATAAGAACTGTCATCAGGATTTTGAATTGATAAGTATTCCCTTTCTCCAATATGTTGTGTTTTAGCGACCATTTCTAAATTAAATTTTATCATTTTGGACACTGGAACTGGCAATACTTTGCTTTAATATGTTTGGTGATTCCAATTAAATCTAACAGTTCTTTGAACAGTCTAACATCTTCTAGTCCTCTTTACTTTAATCTTGACACTTGAGTAAAAGACGCTTTTTTGTGCATGGGAATCTCTGTACTTGTCCAAACGGTGAAAGTTTACTCTGGTGAAATTCATGAAGTAAAGGTTGTATCAAACTCAATGGATTATTTATCTCCTACATTTATCTCATTTCTAGGATTTCTCGGTAATGTGTTTTAAACAATTAAACGACGCCGACAGAAATATCTGGAGAAGAGAGGTGTGAAAGAAAAACATTCTATTGTGTAGTTGTCGACGCGAGCATGCAGGGTGTTCTGCTACATAAATTTTTAATTTGATAGACACTGATTTCTATGTCCTAGAAATGAGATAAACGAGTAAACAAACAGGGTTCCATATTGGGTCTTGCTCCAGTTGCTTCAGTCTTGAAGAACTTGGCAGCTGAGGTCCTAGAAGCCTGTGGAGGGGGGGGAGATGATAAATGTCAGAAAACGTGTTTTTGTAGGAACATCAAGACGTTTCAAGCAATCATGACACATGGAAGCAAATGGCCTTCAAAACGCTACAGAACGATACAGAGTTACTATTTGGCACACTTCAAGTCTATTCTTAACAAACATTGATTATATCTAATAACTAGCAATACATATGAGACAGAAGTTGAAATACGAACCGAGTTCTTGGCTTTCTTGTGCCAGCAAGAGAATGTAGCTTTAGTCAGAATGCCTACGGTTATTATCATTGAGCAAACATTCAGTGACTTAATGATCGGAGCTATACTTTCAAAAAGGTTTTTGAACTGTCTTCTCACACTTCAAATTAGACAATCCCTGAGCAAGAAGCGTTAAACAAAGCTGTGTGATATGTGTGAAGAATTTTGGAGGCGTGGCTTACCGAAGACTTTCACCTCGCACAGGGTCAGGATGCGGCTGGTTCCTTGCAGAGCTACCCCGACGTACCGGCCCTGCTGACCGTCGCACGACACAGTCTGAAGGGACCCTGACACGACGGACCGTTGGCCGCCGCAATTTGGATTACTGGTTACGGTCGGACTGCCACCAACGTGCACATAGAAAGGGTTTAGCCTATCGCTGCAGCAGTCGACACGGTTGAACACATTGACAAGAAAGATGGTTCGGGTACTGCCCAGATCAACCCGCCACCATGGGTTGGTCTGGGTTGTTGTATGTGTGCATGAATTAGAGTTGTAAATGCCGCTTCCGTCGGACCCATCCACAGCTCGGGAGGAATATCCGGTACCTTCGGTGGAGGATTGCAATGTGCTCCGCGACAGCGCAAGATTGGTAACTCCTAGATAAAAGAATTTTTGATATCACTTAGACACTTGAAGACCGTAACGTTATAAACTCTGAAATGTGACGATAGGCTGGTTCTACAAAGAGCCGGACTGTTTCACCATGAAGATGTAAGTTACTGAATCTGCATCTCTATAACTTTAAACGTATGGGGTGGAGGCAAGGTGCAAAGTACAAGGTCTTTAGTGCTACCAATTTCCATCTCTCTTTGATCTGCTTTGATCTTGTGAGATGGGGGGTTAACGTTTGTGCTCACTCCTAGCACAAATTGTGCCCCCCCCCCCACCACACACACCATGCATGTGATCTGATACTCCTGTTGCCCTGGGTACCATAGGGTGAGAATATGATGACAAAGCAGAACCCCGTATTTTCACGTTTTTCGGTGGATTTTTGGTCAACGTTGTATTAGAATTTTGCTTGTTGCAGAAGATATATTTCCCGAATCAACATTTGGAAACTACAGACGGGATGTTAACCTTATATGCGCGAATACGACCTTATATGAGACGTTCTACCTAAGTGCTATGTATAATACATTACGGGTTTCGCGCAGGTGCAGCACGTTCTGCCGACGTGCTGCCAAAGCCTGACTACGCCTCCGCCATGCAGATGTCGCCCCGCCTTCCGCGTGTACTATATAATAGCAGGACGCACCCTAGAATCTCTCTCTCTGCTGCTCTCTGCTTCCCGTCATCAGATCCCGCACCGGTTAGGTCAGTAGTTTAGGCCACACCGACTTAATTTTATGGACGACATCCGCGCGCGCATTGATTCTCGCCTGTTCTAAAAAAAGAGTCACGCCCTCCGAGGCTCCGGCCTGGCTGTAGGTTTGGGTAGTCCATGGTAGTTAGTTACAATACGGAGCCAGTGGTTACTCTAGAGGATGGCACCCAGGTTACTGAACCTCCGTGACTCAAGAACTCAGTACATACCTACAGTACCGATTCAGAAATTCCGCAAAAAAGCCAGCATGTGCCGGCTTGTCGTATACGTCGCTATGTACTGCCGAAAATTCACAATATCAGCTTTGTATTCCTGTGGTCTAGTAGCATTTTTATTTTTTGGCCGGAATTTTTTTATTCGCCCACACGCACTAGTTTGGAGGTCTTCAGAGGATGCCATCCATAAAATTAAATTGGTGTGGCCTTA